CCTAGTTTTATCCCTCAACGATCAAGCGAATAGCAGAAAAGGACATCACAGACCTTGAACTTTCGATCATCCTTGGCTGCTTTAATGATCCGCTCGACAAGTGCCTTTGCTATTTGGTTCTTCACAGGGCCTTCTTCGCGTGTGTTGGAGATGCTAAATATAGCAAAGGGGATCAGATCACAGGGTCGTGTACATTGCTTCCGTACTCACAAGAATTGGTTTTCTTTAGATCAATCACAAACGTAAATATTTCATCGGGATAAACCAGTAGGCATCAGAACTTACCAATATAGATGAAATGATTAGCCTCGTTGATCAATTGAATGTCTGTACCAAAGTTTCAGAGAAAGCATGCAGCTTGTGCATGGGGAGGACGTACAAGCATTTTGAATGCTGTGTTCGGTAAGCACACCCTGACTCCAGTCGCAAACACTCCGCACGGCCTGCACGCGGCAAGCTCCGTGCGGGGGAGGAGTATAAGGCGGCTCAACTTCGTCATCTTGTTCGAGGTGGAAGCGTTGTCTGAAACGACGACCCATCTGATGCCATTTCTCACGATGGGGATGGCCTGAATGATTAGTATCAAATAGGGTTACTAGCAACCATCCACGTACGGACGACAGCTTCGTTTGGAGAAAGCGCCACGTTATGAGGAAGTGCAAGCCAGTCAAATCGGCTGTGGAGTGAGTGGTAAGATTGTATATTTCGTTTGAAATTGTTGGACTTACTCGTCATTACGGTACTTTGAGAACGTGGTATTGACATCAGACTTTAAGCGTCTATCAGACCATTTGACCACGTACCTTCCTACGTTTCACCTCGTTCCATCTCTCAATGAAATGCTGAGAAAGATCTAAACAAACAGAACCACATATCGTCATATGAACCTGATATATCAAATAAGGGTCACACAATGTGGTATAGGGGCTGAAAATGACTTGAAACTTACATCATGCCATGGCATTCTGGGTGTTTCCATGATCGAAACAGCATTGCTAACATAATTGTCAACATTCTGAAAGTCAAGGACACGGGCGTTGTTATAATCCTGTCCAGGAAAGAGAGTGCGTGACCAATCTGTCGGGTGTACATCTGCAAGAGGGTGATTGTGTGTATCCCAGCGACCAAAGCAAATGTCAAGTCCTCCAACACATCCACGGTGGTTGTCGACAACCACAAGCTGTTGGAAATAAGTATGAGGTTCACAGTAAACAGAAGGTAATGTGCATACCTTCTCGTGGTGAGACCAGAATTCTACGGTATCTGCGACTCAAGGTTATGTATATGTGTTGTCGATCACAACTTGTTCTTACCTTTACTTCCAATGTGGTCAGGGTGTCGCATACAAGCGATGTTGGGGTGTAAGGCCTCTAACGCGGCCTGCATGACTTAGAATAAATATCCTCAAGAGTAAACGCGAAAAGAAAAAATGCAGACCTTTGTGTGCTTCGAGTTCATGGACATGGTTTGAGTGACCTGAATTGTGCGCAAGCGCTTAATAAGGATTGAATGACCCTCGATAAAACGGTACCTCTTTATAGACAACAACATATATTCTTACTCCTTGTCGAGCCTTGCGTTGAAGCAATCGGTCGAGTCTCCATTCCGGATGATCTGCGGGTGGTCGTCTGGGCATAAACACCTTCAGCTGGTATTCACGCGCCACAACCGTCAATCAAATACTGACCGAAGGTATAACTCGGGTGTGAGCCACCAGTCCTGTGACAGCGCATTGGTCTCGAGCTAGCAATGGCAATAGTCTTGAAGATACATACCAATATAAAGATACATTCTTTTGCACTGTCGAGTATCTCAGACAATGCATACATATAGTCATGACCATCAATATGCCTGAAAAGTATCTGAACATCCGAATTGGCCATATGGATGAAAACATACCATTTGATAGAATTGTCCAACCTCTGATCCGCGAAGCTATCAAAACGATGACTGGCATTGATCTGGGCTCGAATCTCATCGTCTAGTTTCTCCTCTGGTTTATCGTGACGTCCTGACCAGCCAAATAAGATACGGTGAAAACCAAATGATGCGCGTGTCGTGCTCACTATCAGGATTGATGATTCCTGGGGTAATAATGATCATGAGGGTTGGGCCTCAGGAGTAATTTCAACGTACCAATGATCTGATCTCTTGTCCTTTCAATGCCCTCTGGGAGTCGCTCTGCGTAGTCTAAGACTTTGTCAAGGAAAGACATGATAAAAACCGTTCAAGCTCAAGTTAGTGAATTGTTGTAACCACCTAAACACCTTTCACTATCGGATAAGTATAAAGGCAACCTTATATACGACCACCGTGCGAATATTTACTGCGCGCAGCGCTGGACAGGACAGCCATGGATTGACACAAGACATGGTGCACTGGTGAGTGACTTCCACTGACAGGAAAAAAAACGCGCATATTTGATCCTTCCTTCTCGGCATATTATTGAACCCGAAAGACACGGGTTTGTCTATGTTCGAGCAGATGCTGAAACGCCATTACTACATTTTCCCGCTCTCACTGGCAGGAGCAAGCGCAGTGCAGCGCGCTAGTGTCCATGAAAGCAGGGAACGTTACATATGCCGCACTATAGAGAATTTGAGCTATCCCTTTCCAAGCCAGCTTTCGTCACCTGTTGGCACAGCATTAATCAATAATTGATAAAGCATTCCGCAGGCCTCCGGTCGCATCGACCAAGTCATCTAACTCGAGAGATAATGCTGAAAAGCTCTTCATTTTCAATTCCTGTCCAAGAACTGCCGGTACTACATTGAAGAATAAGCTGGGCCGTACTACTACTAGTAAGCTCGGAGATGTAGTCTGCCGAATACGCGTTAGCTCACGAAAAGGGTGCCCCGGCCCGGCCTTGACTGAAGCCCTAGGCCATCTACATACGTTCTGTCACTCCACGACACGCCCAAGACTTTCCTAGATAGTCAGACTGCCTAGATCTGGGGTATAGCTATCATATGGCATCTTCAAACTTCAAACTTTCAAGTCTAAGACCGAAAGAGAATTTCTGTATTTGCATACCGCTACAAGTTAAGACGCGATGCCCTCGGGAGATATTAATATTGTAGTGGTATGGGGGGATGTAAGTATAGCACGAACTATAGCCGATTGGCGGCCTGCGATTAACATAGATGTATTGATTACAATATCTTTCCTCCTCCTCCTCTCTCCGCCTATCCATGTCCCCCACCATCTTCCAGTCATGCTGAAGTCCATAAGTTGTTTGTGAGTAAGACCTTCCTGGTGCCCGAAGATATCATTATGGCATTGTTTTACCTAGCAAACGCCACAAAATGATAGTTGCCGCAGAGCTCGATTTTCGAGGAGTAGCCTGCAATGCATACAAACGGTTAGATCGAGACATCCAGGGTTGATCAAGGGCCAATTCAAGCCTGTCAGCTCGTGCACATGTCAATTTTCATAGCTTTTAACTTGGGAGCTTCCCTGCCATCCTTTGACATCCCCAGATCAATGCCATATTTCTCATTTGATAAGACAGGTACCCGAGGCTTGACTTACCCAATAGCCCCGAAACAATAGCAAACCGTGGATACCAGTAGTCTTCCATGATTAATGTGCTTTTCGACCGCTTCATCCAATCTACAACTTATCGTGATGAATGCTTCCGTAGGTCACAATTGGACTCGCTGTGTCATTGACTGCTCATCATTAATCGACCATTACCTCTGTTCACGACGTCAGGATCCAACTCTCATAACGATATATTTTTTTTTGGAAATTTCTGCCCAAGTATTGTAGCACCTGGATTTGCAGTTGCGGCAGCTTCATGCAGGTTTGCTTTGTTACTATTAAGTATTAAAACAGAGTATACGAGAAGGCAATGTGCGGAGATGAACGTTTTGTGCGCACTAAATTTGCAGTCCGCTTGAGAAAAGATCCAGCAGCAAGTTGAGTTCACTTACGGCATTCCATCCTGCAGACGGTTCCGCGCATGTAGATTCTTCTTAGGAGATGCCTGCGTAGGAATCGAGGAGGGTGGTGAGGTTTATTGTCCAGTCTGTAATACTTCGTTCGGCCCACGACGAGTACAAGGATTCAGACGTTTCCGCGGATATAAAGGTAGTTGAGCTGGTCGAACGTCAGAAATGCTTCAATCCACTGCTGCCTCATACCTCAAGCTCAAGGTTTGAGCATCCTAATTACATAAACGCACCGACAAAGAGACACTCTCAGCAGGCCATTCAGTAGAGATTGGTGATGGTGATCACCAACATATACTGAATCGGCCTGTTGTCCACAAGCCCTGGTGGTTGTGCGAACTTACGACCAATGGCTAGATCTAAATCGGACCACCGTGCCTTGACCGGTTCGGAAACTGTAACGGCCGGGAGAAGATCAGTGGCGTCCTGCATCATGTTGCGGCCCTCTCATCAATCATTGATGGCATCTGCAACGCAAGGAGCGGCATGAGGACCGGATATGCATACCCGAAAGACAATATGTCACAACTTCTTGGCGTTATGTACTACCACAGCTCATGCACGTACTTGCCTTCTATGTAGGAGATCTCGTTTAACATCATGTCTCGTTTACAACGAGGCTGCTCCGCGATGAGGTTTCGAACTTCGAATTTTAGCCCATGCAGATGTGGATAAATTGGGTGTCGAGGGGTCTGTGTAGGTAACCTGACAACGTAAGAGTTGACCCGATCGATTCAGGTGAAGTCAGTTCCGTTTTTTGCCACTGCGCTCGGGAGGTCGGGTGTTGCACGCGTCGAGAAGTACTGGGGAATGGAAGCAAGAAGGAAGTCAGCGAACTGATGCTTGGATGAGACCGACGAATCACGAAACAATATTATGCCTTTCCGCTCGAGAATCAGAAGATCGTGCCAGAGCAGTGGAAACGTATATAAATGACATCGGCCGAAGCACAGCGAGCAAATCCAAGAGTTGGAATTTGTTCACTAATATGAGCTTCAGCATACCTTTTTCACGACCAACGGTGAGGATTGGTTCTCAAGAAGGTACCGAGCAAACGAAGGACCGGCTTTGCCGCTTGCCTATAAACAACTGGGAGTCAACGCCCCAGGTCGCATGAGCATCTGGAAGTGCTTGAACATTTTGTGGATGACGATGATTTCGGGTGTGGCGTGGACTTTCCAACACACAGGATGACAAAGGTGGCATGTCTTGTGTCGAATGCGTTAAAGTGGTTATCACCAGAGACATTGCCGGATTTGCTGGAGGGTAATATGCGGAACATATTTGTAAAGTATTTTACATCTATTGGCGGGGCTGGGTGGGAAAAAAAGGGCTATAAGTGGTCAAAAGGAAAACCCGGAATTTACTGATGGGTCAAATTGGCAGCTAATTTATTGACGACGCCAGTCAATTCCCGCCAAGTACCTTCGACATCCAACACGAGAGCTTGTCCACCGAGTTTACTACGGAAGACTGAGCAAATCGTATAAGATCTGGGTTAGTGATTACTTTACCCTTCTGTACCGACTTCTTGACTGACACGAGTGACTTCTTTGGCAAATTGTCCCAATTTGTCGACCTGACGATGATATGCATGAGTAAGACCCTGAGATAAGATTCCGCATGAATACCATAGTGTTTATGACGTCCTTCAATTGAACCATGACCACACCCTGCACAGGAACCGTAATTTTCTGGGACAAGTCACCTCTGGCCACAGCATTGCAAACACGAGCGACATCTGAAACCTGAGCCTTGAGTAACCTTAGTTCTTCGACGGCGCTCATGCCGCTTTCGAATGCCGCAGCAGCAAGAGGACTAGGGGGGACGACGAGAGGAGATCCGCTAGGGGAGCCATCAAAGCTGCTGCTATTAATTCGGCTCATCATCAACGTGTCGGTGATAGCCTTCCCACACGTTGGGCAGGCCATGTGTTCGATGTGCGATGTAGGAGGTGCCGAGCTTGAGCTTCCGTTTGAGAATGACCGAAGGAGTGTCACGGCATCAATATGACTTGGAAGTCCGTCGAGTGATAAGGACATCGAATCTGCACGAGCGGAGTGTGGTTTGGCGACTGGTGTGCGATCGCTATTGGCTACAGCATTCGTGCTATCGGCATCCTGCATGTCGACATCAACTGATTCCATAGTAGTAGGTGTGAGGTTTGAGGAGTTGTTCTGAAAACAAGAAGTTGATCCTGGCCCGGGTGAGCTAGAAGCAAAGCATTGATATTGGTGCTGGACTGTATGAGGGAAGAAGATGAGGACATGACATGGGAGTGTCGCCTACACTGCGTTTTCTGTGTCTCTGGCCCATTTGTTTGCCAACACTCAGAAGCTTTGATTGAAGCCAGAGTCTCCTCCGCAGTGTACATTCTACGTGCAACCGCCCCTAGAGAGCGAAGGATGGTGCCTGTTTGCCAATCTGCAGGCCCGTTATATTGTGGAGATGGTGTTGACATAGGACATAGTTCATAAGTTGACAAAAGAGCGATAAGATGAGAAATAAATGGATGTGAAAGACTCTGCCGCTGAGAGTCAGACATTGTACTCATCGTTGAGTACGACGAGCAGTGACGGCGAAAAGTAAGGGCCAATTGGGAAGGGAAACACAATGGAGTCGGAAGCGCTTCTGAGACTATTCCAGTTGTTGTGATCTTATTATTATCCCCGTTCTGCGGCGAATTCTGCCACAGCAACCCTTATTTTGAATAAGTATGCTTCTCCGTCTACCGTATACGGTACGGTGCGCAGCCCTAGATATAAGTATAGCACGAATAGCAGATCGGCGGCCTGCGGTTACATGTGTTAATACTGTAATCAAGTGATTTCAGCATCCAAGTTGCAAGGGTACAATATTTCTCCTCCTCCTGGATCCTCCTCCCTCCGCCTATCCATGTCCCCACCATCTTCCACCTCTTCCTCCGCGCTCTCTCCCTCTCCCTCTCTATTCCCATAAACATTTTCTTGTCCTTGTCGTAGTACAGCGACCTTCTTGAAAGTGTCGAACTCCTGAATAAATTTCGTTCTCAAGACGGACAATGATCCGAAGCAAGGTCACGCGGAAGTCCATAAGTTGTTTGTGAGTAAGACCTTCCTGGTGCCCAAAGATATCGATCAAAGCATTATGGCATCGTTTTACCTGCCAAATGATAGTTGCCGCAGCGAACTCGATTTTCGAGGAGTAGCCTGCAATGCATTTGCAGAAAACGAAATCTCGCATGGTAAGTATACAAACAGTTACATAAATCAAGATATCCAGGGTTGATAACGTTGATCAAGGGTATAGGCGAATGGAGGTTTGCTTTGTTACTATCAAGTATTAAAACAGGGTGTACGAGAAGGCAATGTGCGGAGATGAACGTTTGGTGCGCACCAAATCTGCAGTCGCCTTGAGAAAAGACCCAGTAGCAAGTTGAGTTCACTCACGGCATTCCATCCTGCAGACGGTTCCGCGCATGTAGATTCTTCTTAGCGTAGGAATCGAGGAGGGTGGTTAGGTTTATTGTCCAGTCTGTAATGCTTCGTTCAGCCCACGATGAGTACAAGGATTCAGACGTTTCCGCGGATATAACGGTAGTTGAGCTGGTCGAACTCAAGCTCAAGGTTTGAGCATCCTAATTACACAAACGCACCGACAAAGGTCCTCGTACATTACCATGGGGCACTATCAACAGGCCATTGAATATAGACTGGTGATAGTGATCACCAATATCACCAATATATATTGAATCGGCCTGTTGTCCATAAGCCCTGGTGGTTGTGCGAACTTACGAGCAAGTATAAGTAATGGCCAGATCTAAATCGGACCACCGTGCCTTGACCGGTTCGGAACTGTAATGGCTGGGAGAAGATCAGCGGCGTCCTGCATCATGTTGCGGCCCTCTCATCAATCATTGATGGCATCTGCAACGCAAGGAGCGGCATGAGGACCGGATATGCATACCCGGAAGACAATATGTCACAACTTCTTGGCGTTATGTACTACCACAGCTCATGCACGTACTTGCCTTCTATGTAGGAGATCTCGTTCAACATCATGTCTCGTTTACAACGAGGCTGCTCCGCGATGAGGTTTCGAATTTCGGATTTTAGCCCATGCAGATGTGGATAAATTGGGTATCGAGGGGTCTGTGTAGGTAATCTGACAACGTAAGAGTTGACCCGATCGATTCAGGTGAAGTCAGTTCCGTTTTTGCCACTGCGCTCGGAAGGTCGGGTGTTGCACGCGTCGAGAAGTACTGGGGGATGGAAGCAAGAAGGAAGTCAGCGAACTGATGCTTGCATGAGACTGGCGAATCACGAAACAATATTATGCTTTTCTGCTCGAGCAGTCATAAGAATCAGAAGATCGTGCCAGAGCAGTGGAAACGTATATTATTATAAATGATATCGGCCGAAGCACAGTGAGCAATCCAAGAGTTGAAATTTGTTCACTAATATGAGCTTCAGCATACCTTTTTCACGACCAACGACGATATCCAGTAGCTGTTACACTTTCTCCTGCGCCTCAGGATAACATGCGGAAGCCATGATGACATACATGATCGCCACAGCAGTCGTGTCTGAGCTGGAGTAATCCATAGGCCATTTCTTCGTGCGAAAACGTTCTCAAGAAGGTACCCAGTAAACGAAGGACCGGCTTTGCCGCTCGTCTACAAACAACTGGGAGTCCACGCCCCAGGCCGTATGAGCATCTGGAAGTGCTTGAACATTTTGTGGATGACGATGATCTCGGGTGGTGGGGGTGGACTTTCTATATGTGACCCGCAAGATGACAGAGGCGGCATATCTTGTGTCGAATGCGTTAAAGTGGTTATAGAAGAAGTCACGAAGTGTCACACACCGATTTGCAGCTGCTTGATGTCCTTGATGATTTTCAAGGATGTCAAGGATGACATCACGGGTGGTGTCCGTCTGGATCGGCGCATATGAGTCTACAACCTTCCCCAAAAAATGAGTGTGCACTGCCCTGGATGAGACGACTTCAGCAAAACAATTCGCCAAGCGAAAATATCAACACAACTTGCCAAGTCTCCAGAAATGCTCTCCTGTGGGTGCAAGGGTCATGCGCAGCCCACAAGACAAGATTTCTCCTGCTGCAACCATGCGAGGGCGGTTCGCTGGCAGACCACCTCTTCGATTCCTGCGCAAGTGAGTATGAAAGCACGTGGTAACCAGTATTAGAACTGTCTTACCTGATGTCTGCCAGTGATGACCATGACCTTACTATGCCCGACCCGAAGCAAGATGATGGGCCCGTAGGAGTTGATATATTTAGCAAACTGCTGAGATTGCTGTAATACGTTTCCTGTTAGGGTCCACACAGACCCAAAGAGTGTTCTATTCCTGTTCTCACTCGATTCTTGGTAAAGGATTTCCGAATAGACAATATCCGGGAGGTCCTGGAGGAAGAGGCAAGCGTAACCTTGATGTATTTTAGTGTAGAGAACATCGCCTGCTAGAACGAGGGCGACCAATGCTCCCAGAACCTTGAGCCCAAATTGTCGGAAAAAACCTAAGGACGATTAAGTACTTTCCGATTGTGACCCGGTCATAGACGAACCAGGCTACGCCCGTCTCCCTCTTGCATACAATGTCTTCACCGGTGATTGTCGACTCTTGACATGCAACGTTCGAATTCGTCTCGGAGTTCCTGGTGTCCTGCTAGCGTTCTTGTTACCCGGATGCCGACCGAATGTTAATTATAAGCAAACATACACAAACGCAAACGATTATTCCCGGGGAAATTCCCGGTCTTGCGAAGGTAACTTTGCTCGCAACCACTCCCTACATCAAACTAGTCCGCCCCTCTCTTTCGTGGTATACCTGTATTTTATCATCGCTGGTCGATGTTCAACTTCGATACGGAGCACTCCAAACTTAACTCCAACTTGGAGAACCCACCGATTCTGAGGCTGCCTTCCGAAATTCTTGATCATTGCTGGAGTTATCTCAGACGACGGGATCTTTTCCAAGTGTCCGGCGTGTCCCGCGTATTCTGGTATACCTCGAGATCTAGGATATTTCAGTCGCTCAATGTCACCCTGCCATCTCCGGCGGTCCTCCCCTTGAACCAGAACCTGGTCCGCCGTTCAACGAACAAAGCTCCTAAGATGCTCGAGCGTGCTGCTACCCGAATTACAAGTTTCTATTCAGATCCAAGTGCTGGTGAACTCTGGGACATGGTTCAGGACTGGACGGTCTCGACTGCACCCGCGATCAGGAACAGCATGTTCTTCTTTGCGCGCTCGCAGGAGAAGAATTTGGCCTCGAGATCGGTCGATGCCATCTTTCCGTTTCTGACGTGCAGTCGTAATCTTCGTTCTCTTGAACTTGTCCGCGTGAATCTTGGAAGGCAACAATGGATTATCATCGAATGCCTGCCTGCTCTGGACACCCTCAGACTCATCTCATGCCTCTTCCCGCCTTCATCTCATTTGGAGCGCCCGCTGAAGCTAAAGGAACTTGCAATCGCTGGAGACAACTTCGGTCCTCGTTCAATCGAAGAACGCTTGGTTTCTGTGCTCTGTAACCCAACCTATCTACAAAAACTTACTCTTATCGATTTTCTTGTCACCCATACTGTACTAGCGGTCCTTTCGTCCATGGCGCCCTTTCCCCACCTCACATATCTAAGCATATTTGTTACATCCCCGAGCCGCGACCATTTCTTCAGATTCCTTGCAGCAACACCTGCCCTAGCAACATTGAGGATTTTCCCCTGGTCTGCAAACATTACGCCCCCGCACCCGTTGCCACCCCTGTCTTCCCTTCGGTCTTACGATGGTTATCCAAACCTACTTTCATACATCGTGCCTGGACGACCGGTCGATTGTGTTTGCCTCGTGCTCATGATGGTCACTACGGATGACGATCAACCAGATTATGCTATCCATACCGAGCTGGTCTCGACCGTGCGCGACATCTCACGTTCCACAGTTCCAGTCAGGAAACTAGCAATCGAGTACTTTCTGCCCACTTTAGATAACCTCGCCGCCATCGCGAAGCATCTTCCGGATCTTCATCGCCTGGACTTAGGTCTTATCTCAGGGCCCCCACCGCTCACACCCGTCAGTGTGATATTTGCCTTCATACTGTGTAATTTCGTTCATGCGTCGCTATCTCCACAGGAAGAAATCATCACCCTTTCCGAGTCAAGTTCTGAGTTCGGCCTCGACTATACTAGTGAACCACTTGATACTGTGGACACCATGCAGGTACGTCGAATCGCAGATAAGGCCATGCTCCAACGAAAATCCTTTCAGGGTCTTCTGAGTTGGCTGGCGGAGGGTCGTGCCCCACTTCCGCCCAAGCTGGTGACACTTCGGCTATCACATAGTTTGACGGGAAACGAGGACATACAGTGTGCTGAAGGTGTCAAGCAACGGAAACTTGTTCGTTGCTTGCATAGTAGATATCCAACACTGCGCGAGGTCGAGATGGGAGGATGCCGTTGGTGGAGAGAGGGTGTGTATTGGTCGCGAGAGATTCTTGAATTTGAAGAAACGTAGATCGTGCCTCACGGTATAGGGTCACATGTGCTTCGGTGTTCACATCAGTGGGATACAAATAACGCTATAAACATATCTATTACCACTCCCGACAATTATCCTAGAG